GCGGCGAATTCGATGCTTTGATGCTCGAGGAGGCGATGCCAGTGGAGCAGTTCCCCAACTGGGACGAGGTCAACCCCGATTTTAACAAGCCGTTCCAATTCGACAACAGCTTGTATTCCTTGGACGTTTCCGGATCGTCATGAGGAGAGAGGAGGGAAAGAAGGAAAACAAAAAAGGCGGAGGACAAGGACAGGGAGACGTGAGATGTTTTGAATACCCCGGAGGAGATTCCAACGAATGATGACCAGCCGGTTCTTCGGACGGGTGGGAAGGGTTAGCATCAGGAAAAGCAAGGCTTCGGCGTTCCTTTGGTGGGCAGTGGCCGCTGCCTCTGGGTCGGTCTCTTTGCGAGCGATGATTTTATATGGATACACAACCCTCGGACGAGGGGTTGGAGTGCTTTGCATTGTGTTTTTTGACCATGCTCGTTCCTTTCAGTATTATTGGAAGCCGTTTGGCTCGAGGTTTGAGAGACGATTACGCGTTTGTACCTATGGATCTGCGAAGGGCGGAAGTCTTAGTTGTTTTCTTTGGCGCCGACAAAAGGCGCGACTCTTGCAAGGGCGAGAGGAATGATACCCGAGATTCAAAAAACGGAAACGTCCCTAGCATTTTTGCGATGTGCTGCAGTGGTTGGAGGTTTAATGAGCAGTGACGACATGGTACACGGTCTCTGGTGGTGGTTCAGTGTGAATAAGACGCGTGTTGGTGGGCAATTTACGGCGTTGGGCGATCCATGAAGGGATGGGGGGACTTGTCACGTCGATCCCAGCAGCGTGGACCCTGACCCCGTACCTGCATTTCACTTTCTTCAGCGCTAGGCCGCATCCGCTCACAGGTGGCTAGTGAACCCCTGCAACGACAGACGCGCCTCTGGGGACATGCAGGGTTATGTAAGCCGCGTTCTGGACCGTGGGCGCTCTGTGATGCGCATCACGCCCTGGAGCAGGCGCTGTAGCGTGCTGAGGCAGGGGCCGTACAGCGGCACCACAGCGGCCTGGCGGCAGGGGTACGCGCCCGCCGCCAGCCACCGAGACAGGGGGAACGGAGGGGGCACCACGCTGCACCAACCGTCCCCGGCCCGCGATGGATGTTGGTGGGGGACAAGACGAACCGCGAATGCTGCCACCTCAGTGTGAGGCGCTGTATTTCGGCAGCTGGCGTGCTTTTACAGCGGTGTTCGTCCGCTAAAGACAGGTCGCGACTCAGCAGACCAGGCCGCCGTTTGAGCGACCCGACCTCACACGAGCAGAGCAGGCGACGCTGCATATTTCCCGGGTACGCGTTCGCCTGCATTCGCTTGTCCGAATCCTGTCAACAACACGCTCCCTCCCTCTTTAATATCTCTTGGGGCATTTTCCCATTTTCCCTTGCCCTGTGTCTCGAGAATCCTCCTCGAGCAGTTGTCCTCCTTTTTCTGTCTCCCTAGACTCTCAAGACCTCAAGACACGGGCCGGAGCATCTCAACAACGTTGACCGACGCACTTTTGTTCTATTTGTTTGTTTGGACAGCTCTGTGGATTCCAAAACGGCCGTCCAGTTGCTACAGCTGCACGCGGGCACAAGTCGTCGATCATTCGTTCGGTCCGCTACGGGCCAGCCCAGCCACGAAACCGTACCTTCTGCCCCGAAAGTCGCTCAGGTTGCACTCCGGAATCCTGAATTGACCTTGTTCTTGCAGCTGCAGCACTCTGCCCTCAACCTCACTTCTACCAACCCTCCTCCTCCCCCCTTACCCTCCCTCACCTCAATCTCCATCGGGAGGCTTCTTTCCCTCTCGTCCCCTCCACCACAGCAGCGGTTCCCGTAAACCACAGACACCATGAACCCCTCATCACCAGCCAAGAGACGCGCCCTCGCGCCCCTGGACGCGAACGTCAACGCGATGTCGCCCAAACGCCAGCTGCACAACAAGACCACGATGCCCGGCTCGCCTCTCAAGAGCCCAATCAAGTCTCCCCTGGGCCTGAAGAGGTCCCTCGACACCGTCATCTTCGACGAGAACAGCGTCGTCCCCAAGAAGAAGCAGTGCCAGGAGCCCGTAAAGCTCGCCGCACCCTCGCCCGCACCCGCACCCGCACTGTCACTCAAGGCGGAGCGTGTGTCTGCTGCTGCAGCTTCTCCCGCACCCGCAGCACCCACGTCCACGTCCACGCCGCCTCCTGCACCCGCACAGACCGAGGAGGACATGCCCGACGCGAAGGAGGTGAGGGACCTGCATACATCACCCGAGGGGAGCGAAGCTAATGCGTATGAGGGACCGCAGCAAACGACGCAAGAAGAACCCCTCCGTCTCAAGCCCGAGAAGAAGGACGCCATCACCACCGCCGCGGACGACGAGCAGACGCAACGACAGCAGACGCCTCGCAGGTCCGCGTCCCCCGCCACGTCGTCCGTGTTCGATAGCTCCGCCATGGACACGTCCCAGAACACCACCATCCTCACCGAGCCGGACCAGGAGCAAGCGGCCAGGACGACGACGACGCTGCCGCCGCCGAGGCCGAGGAGGTTGTTGACGCGCGAGGAGGCGCGACAGGTACGGCGAGACTGTATGGGGGACAAGGAACGAAATGCTGACTGGCGTCTGCTACAGAAAGCTCGCATCTTGAGGCTGAAGCTCGGCCTCGCCAACTACAAGCTCCAGACGGGGCAGGAAGACGTGCCCCTCGACAGGCTACAGGTCAAGCCGCTGCCCGGGCAGGAGAAGAGGGCGTTGCCGAGGGTCACCGTCCAGCCGCCCTCGAGCCGTGACGGACCCCCTGAGAGCGAGGCCACCATCGAGGCGGATGACCGCAGGGAGGAGGAGACACAAGAGGAGGAGGTCGTGGTGACCAAGCCTGAGAAGGCTACGCTGCCGGCCGTGCCCGAGGAGGCGTCGACGGCCGAGGATTCAGCGAGCCCTGTCTGCGGAGGGGCTGTGAGCAGTCTGCTTAGTCTGGCGAGGGCCTCGTCGTCCGTCTCTGCCTCGTCATGACGTGTCTATTACGGGTTTTCTTTTTGGTTGCATTTGGGAGATTTACGACTGGGGTTTGATATCCAGCATCACGTCACAGCAAACGAGTTGGACAATGTCGCGAGATACGTTTTTGGGGTGGCTGATCTACACACGCTGTCGGATCTCGTCTCGAATCTTATGTCCGGGGAGGATGGGGTGGAGGTCACTTGTCTGATTAATTAGTCTCGGCGTCTTGTGGCAAAGACGTGCGGAGAGTAGAAATACCCTTGTCACGCTACAGCATGAAGGGCCGGCGTTACACGGAGCATGGGAGCATTAGGTAACCTCTCATTCTTTCTCCGGAGGGAAAAAAGAGGACGGGCGTACGGCGGTAATTGACGCTGGTCTTTCTGGCCATACAAAAGAGGAACTTGCTCGTCTGATGTTCTTGCGGTGTTGCATTGCAGCTCCGGGGTGTGAGGAGAAGCCAGGCTAAGCTTTTTCGTGATCTGGATGTAAGGGGCGAACTATGCTTTGTTGGAGATGGTGTGCTGGGTGACGGCCGCTGCGCTACGGGATGGGACGGCGGGTGCGGGTTGGGCATTGGGAAGAAGATGAAGGTTCGGGTCTAGACCGAACGGGCGGGGAATGGAGGGAGGGGTTGGTTTGTGTTGTCGTGTGCGTGTTACGGTCACGGCGCCGTGGGGGATGGGGTACGGCGCGGCGATCGGCGGTGGGGCGGGGACCGGGATCACGGCGCGGGAGTGGGAGTTGGGGATCCTTGGGGACGTGGACGACGTCAACGACATGGAACAGCGTGAGGCTCTTAGTTGTGGTGGTTTGGATGAAGCTGCATCAAGAATCGTGTCTTGACGCTGCTGGCCATTAGCGTGCTCGCGAGTGTCTGCTTGATCGATGAGAGACCGTGGGTGGCATGTCTTGGTCCTGTCTTTTGTCAGTGGGCGCGTGGAGGGGCTGGGTGTGTACGAGCAGTCGTCTCAAGAGCGAGACCAGCGGCATCAATTTGTACTCAGAGAGCGCTTCGTCCCGTCGGCAATTGAGCGTGGACAACAGTCTCGCATTGAAGCGTAATTGAGGAGTGGTGGCGGTCAGGTTCAAGAATCCGATCCTCGGCTTTGGACCTTAGAGCACGCTTCGCGAGTACCCTCTGCAGGTCTGGCACTGTCTTTGTTATACAGAGTGTCACTGTGACTTGAGCGGAAAGGAAACGTCGTTCAGTGATTGTAAGCTTAATCAGATCTATTAGATTTCGCAGAGCGTACGATGTTATACAATAAAGTAGTGGATCTAAGAGACTAGCTCAGATGAAGAGAATTTTGCAGCAAAGGCGGGCTCACATATGAGAGTAGATGACCTAAGTAGACTGTTTAGATCCACTTAAGTTCCTAAGTCGCTACTTACTATGAAATTTCTAGCTCTGAGTAGGCACCTCAGTAGACGGGCTCTATAGTGTGATCTGCTACTCACCAGGAAGTTCACGGTCCTTAAAGACGCAGCTCAGAGTAAGTAAAGCGTGGCTTGAGTCGCGATTCACGGCTGATTCCTCGTCGTCTGCCACCCATTTTTTCCCAACACCTCCGTACTGTGCCCGCCCGTCGTGCCCGCCCCATCTTGCATCTTCTCTACCTAGCTAAAGCATAACAGCAATACTTAGAAGTTTCTACTCATAGTAGATGGAGCCCACGCTCTACACACTGGAACTTCTCTTCGTAATTTTGTTCGGCAGCGTGCGACAGAGCGGCAGCTCGCCAAGTATCTATGGTCGGTAAACAGGCCACAGATGGCAATCAAGTCACGGATGGCAGTCAAGTCACGGATGGCAGTCAAGTCACGGATGGCAGTCAAGTTTTACTTTCATTAGCTACCTGCCCATCTATCCTCCACTGGCATTGTGTGCCGTCCTTCATTGAATACGCCATCAAGCGTGCTTTCGCGATCCCGTCGTGGGGATATCTCCTTAGTATGCCACTAGCATTGTGTGCCATCCTGCCTTGAGTACGCCATATCAAGCGTGCTTTCACGGTCCCGTTGTGGGGATATCTCTCTAGTATGACAGCCTTCCTGGCGCCAGGTGCCAATGCTGGTTGATACCGAGGGCCGCACACTCTTCGGCAGTAATAGAGGCTGGAAGTGGCTCTGAGGCCCCGTTGCCGCTATCGTCCGGGTCTGACGTATTCGGGTCGTTGATAGAAGTGTCAACCAGCATCATGGAATCGGCCTCGCGATCAGGAGAATGATTGTCCCGCAATCGTCTCAACTCCTCTGATCTTCGCATTTGCTGAGAAATTTTCTCGTTACTCTGGCGGAGTGACTCTTCGAGTTCGGTTATCGAGCTGGCCTGCTCATTCAGCTGCTGTTGTAAAAGCTTTGTCTCATTCAGCTGCTGTTGTAAAAGCTCATCCTTTTCCTTCAACTGCTGTTTGAGAAGCTTCGTCTCATTCAGCTGCTGTTGAAGTGCCTCGTCTTTTTGACGCAGAATGTTTTCTGCGTCCTCTGAGTTGACGCTGGCCCCTGCCGTGTCGGTCTGCTCTTGGTCGGTCTGCTGCTGGTCGCCCAAACGCTTGTTGCGATTCTTGGTCTTTGCCTTGTGGCGGCGGACGGCGATGAGGGCTCGCTCAATGTACATGGTGAGCGCTGATGGGCCCAGAGGCGGGTTGTCTGTAGAAGAGTTGTACATGTGCTCCTTTATGAGCTCTGTTGGCAGGAAGGAGGGTATCCCCATGTACGCCGTTGCATCCAATGCCTTTTGGACGGACTCGAGATCATATCGAGAAATGGTGTAAACGCTGACGGGGCCATTCTTATCGGTAGTGTCCACGCGGGCCTCGACTTCGACAATTTCCTCCAGGGCCGTCAGGAAGAGCGAAAAGATCGATGGCGTGCGCTGCTGCTTGAGACGCTTTCGCACCTGTTTATGCAGGTTGTAAATAGGCAGATTCTGGCCCTTGGTTTCCTTAATGACCTCCTCAAAGATCTTGAAGAATGGGTCCTCGTTTGGTCGGACAAGCTTCCATGAGCGCAGGTCGCGGCTCCTCAGTATTGAAGTGTATTGCAGCGCGATGGCGAGGAGTCTGGGATCTCTCCCCCACAGAGGGTGCGGGATCAGATGGTACAGGGTCAAGCTGAATTTCGGAGCCCATTTGTCCCGGATCTTGCTAATGTTCTCGCCGTATACGAGGTCGTACTTTTCAGAGATGAGCTCAAACGGCGTGATACCGAAGAATCTGAGTGCCTGTCGGAATGCCTTGCCAATGTCGGCATCCTTGTAGCCGATGAGATCTGACCGATATGGGTCTGCTTGCCAGCTGCTTTGGAGCGCAGTTTCATCGTCTGCCGACCAGTCTTGATCGTACTCCGTCTCTGGTAAAGTTCGTGGCAATAGCACTTCGAGGTCTGGTTTCGACAGTCTGCCGACGGCTTTTGCGTTGATGGTCCCGGTGGTATGGAATACGGTGTACTCATACTCTACCCAAGCGGACTTGTCCTTGCCCTTGCAGACGTGTTCTGCGTCCTCTTCGTCTGCCTTAGCTTTCGCTTTGCGAGACTTTTTGGCATTTGTGGGGTCGCCATCGTGGCTTGATGGGCGCTTTTGGTGTGATGAAGTTAGATCCATCTTAGGTTGGTTTGGGTGTGGGAGGGTTGTGCGTGAGAAAAGTTGCGCGGGTGTGCCGGCCAAAGGGGGAGACGAAAAAAGCGAGTATTTTTCGCGGGGGGATGGTAGATTCTGAGGCAGTAGTAGGCAGGAATGGGAAGGCACTCCCGCTCGAAGTGGGAGGTGCCTTCCTGGCAAAGGGGCCTCACCTTAGAATCTCAAGTCCACGGCCCACACTCGCACACTTTGCCAGGAGGTTGCCTACCTTTCCTGTGTTAGTGAGAGCGACTGTTTTGTTAGAGGTTACGCTACTATTGGGATGTTTTCTATCTTCTCTATCGTCGTCCTTAACCTTGTCGATATCGTCGTCCTCGTCCTCGTCCTCGTCGTCGTCCTCGTCGTCGTCCTCGTCGTCGTCCTCGTCGTCGTCGTCGTCCTCGTCGTCGTCCTCGTCGTCGTCCTCGTCGTCGTCCTCGTCCTCGTCGTTGTACTCTTCGTTGTACTCGTTGTCCTCGTCGTCCTCAATCGGTGGATGGTAAACATCCAACATCGAGCAGACAAAATAGATAGACATAGACAAATCAGGCGGGCTATTTAATGGGCCCACGAACTGCCGCTTCTATATCCAGGCGCTGGGTGATCTATTTCTCTGTCAAGTTCCGCGCCTAGTCATGACCAACTGGGAGAACTTTGTTCTGAGGACAGAAGGAATGGGCGTGGAAATTGATTAGCAAGGTCTGAGTACGAGAGTATCATGACTTTGATTACACACTTGGCCGCCTGCTTCTGACACGGTTCATGGTGGGTAAGAAACGACAGCATATCGCATTTCAGGTACATTTTCACTTGCGTAGTTCATTAATGACCAGATGAGTTATTCGGATTTGGTCTACGACTGTACACCTTTCCATCTGCATTATTTGACCGCTATTGACACCTCCGTGCCATGCATCCATCAAATCGAGCTACCTATTATGACTGATAAAAGGTCAGGAGCTTCTTGCCATTGTGTACACAGAATAGTAATGGAAGACATTTTTGATCTTTCGAGCCTTTATGGACTTGACATTCCTTATCTTTGGTGCTTCCAGCTTCCTGGCCTGCTTCGCATTTGAGGGTTGTATTGAAACAGTAGACTTCCCCTGATTCTGCGTACTCAAGGAACGTTTTTTTGAAATTGTCTGAAACCTTCGGCTAATGTCTCAAAAAATCTCTGAAAGGAGTTAAACTAACCCATTATGGAGCTCTCTTCCAAATCTCTGGCCTTCGCAATGGCTTCAACTCTCCCGTTGACATGGACCTCTGTATGTGTCGACTTTGCAATGCTCAGTACGGATGAGGCATTGCCGACGTCCTCGCTCATCTTCGTGACGGTTTGAGCTTAGTTGTGCGTCTGTCGACCTTCTTATCGATCTCGCTGTTGGACTTTGTTGGGGTTACGTTGTCCAAGGCGGTCTCCACGGTATGCACTGCGGCGATTTTGTCGACCTTCTTCGTGATTAGTTCAATGGCTTTAGCCATAGTGTTCAAGTCTTTGATCTCGCCGTTCATGGTCCCATAGGTCCCTGACACTAGCAATACCGCTTCGAGTATCTCGATGGCATCGTCCCTGGTAATCTTGATGTCCTCATTGATGATCTCGGCGGCGATTGTCTGCTCGCCGTTGCAGTCTTGGGCATTTCGACAATTGCTTATCTCTCTCAGCCATGGAACCGGCTAAATGCCCAGCTACTCTCTCATGTTGGGCGGCAATTGTGTCCTGGATCACTTTGAAGACGGGAGACGTGTCCTAGTCAATTCTTTACCTGTCAGCTACAGAGCGAGGCCTTTTTGGCTAGTCCAGTCTGCCTCCTTACGAGTGCATGCAGACGCACCGAGGTTTTTTTTTTTTTTTTTAAATTGGTGTCGACATCCGCAATCACTGATGAAGCATGACGCCACATGGTAGGGAAAGGGGAAAAGCTCAATTTGACGACGCAGGAAACCTATGTTTGCACCCATTTCATGACCTGCTGCATCAACATGAAGCAGGGGTGTGGATCCGGGAAGAACGCCATGGTCATTCCTTTATAGCTTCCAGTGAGAGCTAGCAGCCATCTGGGGGTGTTGGCAGTCGTGTGGACAAAGCCAAGAGGCCAGCTGCTGTTGACTTGAATTCCCTCTGATTTGAGCGATGGAGAGCTCCCTCAGCATCAGGACTCAACAAGTACTGCGTGATACTACAAAACTATACAGCAGCAGGTTTACAGATTGATATGTCTATTTAGCCCTGGCCGGGTGATCGAAAACTCTTACAAATAGGAAGCTCTTCTCATTCCGGTCTTCTGACAGGACAATTCTGTTATATAACAGACCGTTCCTTCCCCGGTAAAAGAGACGGACATACCGCCGTTATTCACGGTACCGTGACAGACGTTGGGAACATCGGAGCCGCGTCGGCTCGGCCTGGCAGCCGCCCAAAGTATCGGGGCCCTGCGACATGGGTCAGGGCTGGATCTCGACAGCAAACGGCTTTGCGACGTCGGCCGCGTGTGATCGTCATGTAACAAGAGCCTCAGATATTGATACATTATCAGACTCACTGTGTCACTGGAAAGTCAGCAACTGGAAATTAGGACTCAGCCGCTGTAGGCAAAGATAATAGGGGCTCCTGGTCGTGAAGTTAATCAGGGGTTCCGTGCTCTTGGATACGTCTCTACAGCCGAGATTGAGAAGGGACGTGCTGTCAGATACTCGATCTACTAGTTCTAGATGGACCATTACAAAACAGAGCGATGCTCCGAAACTCATCTGTCATGGAGAATGAGGTTTCCGAGTCATAGAAATGCTGCTCCTGAAGAGACCGTGTTGAACCCAACAAGTCGTGATCTCTGGACATCAGTCTTCCAAACAACTGATCGGAAAGCGATCGGAGCCGACATGCCAGACTCGGTGCTATTACACCTCTCTCTCAACTGCCGCCAGGCCACTGGTCCGGGCTCAGAGGCTATACAGAATGGCGCGACTTGTAGTGTAGAGCTTACCCAGCCCGTTCATGATTCACGATCCCTCCCCGTATCAGCCTCCCACCAAGCAACCTTCTTCTTCTCAGACAACACATCTGACCCTCCCTGGCCTACGGCTGATCTTACAAAAGTCACGGCGAATTCTTCTCTCCCCGCAAAGTCTCACCATCGGCAGTTGTGAGGTCTCCCCCCGGATTTCTGCCTCCCCCCCCCCCCCCCGGGCAAAANCCCCCCCCCCCCCCCCCCTGGGCAGAATCCGACGCGGGAAGGATGGAAAACATGTACGCTGGCTGCAAAGAGGGCAGGCGGGGTAGCCCGAGCCGACGGGTCTGTCGCCACGATGGCACGATATCGACCAAACAAGCTCGACACGACCCGATCAGAGCCCCCAGTACGAGCACAGTGGCAGAAATCCGGTGAATCTGACTGACCGGCTCCATCGGCCAGATATCGGTCGACTTCAGCCTCATATAGGTAGCCACACCCCCTTTCCCGGCCACATCCCCGGACTGTGTGTCTGTAGGTTTGCAAAGAGGAACCGAAGCGAACCGGTCGTCAAGTGTCTGCCCATGCTTCACACAATCAAAACAATTCTGCCAGTTCCCCCTCTGAAAATCGATGACAACTCGACACAATAACAGAGAGAAGCAAAGCCAGCAGACACTTATTCCGAAATACGTGATTTGATAGCACTGCCCCCCGCGCTCGGGATACCAAGACGATAATTGGCTCACTGTCTGGTTCGCATCTCCCCCTCCCCACCAACCCGTCCTGAGTTCATCGTCCCAAGCGTTTGTCTTTCTCACGTCCCGCTATGCTGTCAATGTGGCGGGGCCTCGAGGTCGGACGAGAAGCAGAGAAGATTGGGAAATTGTCAGCCAAATCGGACGATCCCGAACCGGCAAAGCAGAAAAGCCCGAAAGTGCGAAAGAAACGAACAAATCCCATGTTGAATGCGAAATCCAAATCAGCCACCGTTCTTGTAACTTTGCCATTTTCCGTCTCCGTTGTCTACCGTGACGCAGGGCCTAATCTCATGTCAATTTCCCATCGTAAGTTCATGACCTCGTCTTTCCCATCACCGTTCATGTCACAGGTTCCCTATCGCCGTGAATTTCGACGCATAATGACCGTCATGTACGCCATCGTCCCTATTGCTGGTCCTCTCAATCACATCAACCTGTCGCGCTCGGAAACGCACAGACACTCGCAACATTCTCGTCATCGTCCGACAACTCCAACCTACCGATTCCTCTGATGGGCGGCGCATCCCACATCACCTCCCCGTCAGGTTTACATGCACAGCCTTCACATTGCAGTACCCCACCAGCCCGGCCTCCCCAAGCTCGCGCCCGATGCCGCTCTGCTTCACGCCCCCAAAGGGCACGCGGAAGTCCGAGTCGTTGCTGCTGTTGATCCACACCATGCCCGCCTCGACGTCCCGCGCGATGCGGTGCGCCCGCGCCAGATCCTTCGTGAAGACCGCCGCGCCAAGTCCGTATGTCGTATCGTTTGCCATCTTCAACGCCTCCTCCTCGCTGCCGAACTTGACTACCGCGGCACACGGCCCAAAGATCTCCTCCTGATAGACCGTCATCGAGGTCTTGACGTCGGTGAAGACCGTCGGTTGGACGAAGAAGCCCTTGCCCGATGCCTGCGGCGCTGGCTCTCCTCCCATGGCGACCGTGGCGCCTTCGTCTCTGGCCGTCTGGACGTATCCCAGTATTCTCTCGTACTGCGCCCTCGTAATCTGCGGGCCCTGGAAGGTAGCTTCATCAAAGGGATCCCCGACAACAGATATGTCACGCACGGTTGACGTAAACTTGTCGATGAACGCCTCGTAGATGGCCTCGTGCACGAGAATGCGTGATGTGGCGGTGCAGACTTGCCCCTGGTTGCTCATGATCCCCTCGTGAGACCACCGGGCGGCTTGGTCGAGGTCAGCGTCGTCAAAGACGAGTGACGGGGACTTGCCGCCGGTCTCGAGGGTGACGTTCTTCAAGCCACCGGCAGCAAGCTTCATAATCTCCCTGCCTGTAGCTGTACTTCCTGTGAACGCGACCTTGTCAACGCCGGGATGGCCGGCCAGGGCGGCTCCGGCGTCACGCCCGTACCCGTTGATGATGTTGACCACTCCTGGCGGGAACCCCGCCTCTCGGACCAGCTGCGCGACATACAGCATCGACAAGGGCGTCTGCTCCGCCAGCTTCAGCACGACCGTGTTCCCGCAAGCAAGCGCAGGACCCAGCTTCCAGGCCGCCATGTCGAGGGGGTAGTTCCAGGGGATAATCTGCCCGCAGACCCCCAACGGCTCCTTGATGGTGTAAGCCAGCTTATCCGGGCCGACGTCCATCGTCTGGCCGTGGAGCTTGTCGGCCCAGCCTGCGTAGTACCTCAGCACCTCGGAAAAGTGCGGGACATCGACGTCGCGGCAGACAGAGTACGGCTTCCCGTTGTCGAGCGTCTCGATGGTGGCCAGGGTCTCCAGGTTCGCATCAACCAGGTCGGCCAGCTTCATCATCATGTAGCCGCGTTCCGTCCCCGAAATGCGTTTCCACGAGGGATGATCAAAAGCAGCCCTCGCCGCTGCGACAGCCTTGTCGACATCCTCGGCCGAGGCAGCGTGCACCTTGCAGATCTGTTCCTCATTGCTGCGCCGACATGATCAGCACGGAAAACCGGACATGCGGGCAGTCTGCGACTCACCAAGGATTGACAGTGCTCAGCAGGCTCCCGTCGGCACTCTCGACGAACTCATTCCCGATGAAGAGCCCTGTAGGCTGACTCCAGGACCGCCCGTTCGGAGCCGAAATGTCCGCCGCCGACGGTGTGCTCGTCCGCGACGTCGAGAACGAGGCTGGAAGGGGTCGCTGGGTACACGGCCATGGTGCCGCTCCAAGCGGCCGACGCCGACGGCACGGTGCGTGGGATACCCCGGAAAAGCTAGCAGTCCTGGACAGGGCCAGACGACGGGCCAAGCCGGAAACCACGGAGCGCGTGATCGCGGACATGGTTTTCGTCGCGAGAACGAGAGGGGGAGGCAGCCTTGCAAGGGGGGCGGTAAGGCACAGCGAAGCGGCGAGATACTCAAGCCGGTGAGGTCATCCCGTGGCTGCCGAATTTTGTGTAATTATTGTCTTCTCTGTGAGGTATGATGTGGCAGCATGCAGCTCGAGACTCGAGATTGGTAGGCTGCATGCGGGGAAATCTGGTGGTGCGGCCACTCGCCCAAAAAAAGGGGGCCGCCCAGATTCCCGAGGCCGATCGTACCTGATATCAGCCCCTCTTTTTCTCTAAGTGATGGGTCTCCACTCGCCGCGGCTCCGGGAATCTCGTTGGTCGGGTTTCGGTTCGGTGAACAGCTTGTCAATGTGCAGTGCCGAGATGCTGCAGCGATGTGTGCTCCCGGCGGGTCACAGAAACGACAAAAAAAAAGATGGAAAACGCAAGGCTTATCGAAGGGGGCGTCGGAGAAGCAAGGAGGGCGTGTGTTTTCCGTTGTCCAGGCTGCCCAAAAAAGCAAGAAACAGACAGGAGAGACAGGCAGGCGACCCCCCGAACAGGACACTTCGGAACAGGTACAAGCAGAGGGACGTGCTTCACTCTGGACGATGTACCTCTACCTCCCGCCCTCGACGAGGAATAGCGAACGCGACCGGGCCCGTGATCTTGTTCTCCCTCCTTCTCGTCCGAGCCGCAGCTGCAGAAAGGGCAAACAACGACAACGAGGCATGCAACACAGCAAAGCAAGCACGCAAGGTGGCCAAGGTAAGGCAAGGTAGGCAGGTCATGTAAGCCAAGCCAAGCCGAGGCCAAGGCAGATGGATAATGTCTAAACATGAAGATTCTCCCTCTCCCCACCGTCGCTTTAGCTCCCCGAGCCGATGGACCGACGACCATGCTTAATCATTTGGCGCGCAAATCATCTGCCACCCGAAGACAGGATTCCACTGCAACATTTCGCTGTCGTCAAGTGCCGGAACGCCAAGCCCTGAGGCTTGAAATGTCTTGTCGTCAGTGGACCTGGTGTTTTTCAATTCTCTTTACCTTTTTTCTACCTTCTTCTCCAAAGCTGTCAAACCTCCAAACACACACAAACACAACCACCAACACCCCCGCCAGAAAAGAAACCGAGTCTGCCTCGGCTTTTCGCGTGCACCGTCTCGTCACTCGTCCGTCGGTTTCGCTCATTTCAGCCTTGTCTAATCTTCTACACTCCCCCAAATCAACGTTTTCCAATCGCATTCAACCAAAAATGACTACTTGCTCGGCGCCAGCAGCCGACTATCATATCAAATCTTTTTCGCAATGCCGTCCTGGTCTTTTCTCTCCTTCTCTCATTGACAAGGGCCAAGAAAGTCAACCGACAGGCACGCGCGCTAACAATAGCATATAACATCCGACTCTGAAAACTCAATTAATTGCAAATCAGCACCCAAGTGCAAGCAAGCCTCCTTTATGTCAAACGAGGCGCCTGGTTCGTCGAACCTCGAACCTCTTTTCCTTTCGCTGAACACCCCCCTCCCTCTGCCTCCCCTCCCCCCTGACCGGACTCTGCTCGTCTTCTCCCCGTCGAAGCGCGAACCAAAGATGGTGCAACACCAGTTAGTCCGTGGACACTGACAAGACAATGGGCAGAAAAAGCTTCCAGAAGCGTGCGTTCTTGCGCGCGAATGGCGTTCGAGGAAGAAGGAAGTCTGGGAGACACTTGGAGCTACTCAAATCAGACTAGAGGCGGGGCCCGGGCATAAAAACGACGAAAAACACGGACAAGTTCCCATACAGACAAGATGAAAATGTCAACGTCGCCGGGGACGCAAGGGGAGTCGTTGGGGCTCGGAGGCGGACCGCCCGCGCCCCCTGTCGGGAAGCTCTCCCGCGCTGCCTTTCTGTCTGTTCACCCGCTAGTCCAACGAGGATGCGTGCGTCAAGGTATGAGGTGCAGCATGTAATGCGGTGCCGTACAGCGTACAGCCGCACCGTTTTAGGTTGTGTCGCTCGGGAGTTGACTTGCCTCCCGATTTCGACAACGAGAGGCAGGAAGAAGCAGAAACTAACCCACACACTTGACCAAGATCTCGAGGGCTGCCTCCCGATTTAGCCAGACACACTGATCCCCTGTTGTTCTCGATACGGAGCCCAATGTTGTGCGTATGCATATCAGAACTGCACCATAGCTGCTTAATTGCTCGGTCTAATGCCACGCACCCCTCTGTCTCTCTCTCCTCTGGATGCCTCCGCGGCCCCGCGCCTCGGCGGACATCACACTCTCACACACATGAAAGCCAACGGCGGCACATGTGGATGTCTCCCGGTGGATGATGGCACACACACACATACCGTTGACGCTGGACAGCAGCGATGGTTGGCTCGGACGGACTTGGAGGTTGAAAGTCAACCGCCAACGCTACCGCCAGTCGACGGATACCTACCGCAGTGAGCCATCTCGAATGTGGGGGCCGCCCGAGTGCCGCGCTGTGTGGCCCCGCCGTCCCCCCCCGTTTGCCGTTTCCCGCGTCCCCGTTTCCCGTCTCTCGTCTCCTCCCATGGCCCCCGTTCCTGTTCCTGTGCCTGTTCCTGTTCATGTTCCCCAATCTTTGCCGCTTCTCTCCACAGGGACACTCCCTTCTGACATTGACGATATCTGTCAACACACCAACCTAGCACACTACTGACATGCACTTACATGCCTCGATGCATCCGAGAGACCCTGAATCCGGTGGAGCAAATAACCCAAATCAAAAAAAAGAGTGACACGGGTAAACGACCTGTGCCTCTTACCACCACCACCAACACACCGGCAAATCGGTACGTATCTTTGGCTCGGTGAGGTCATTTCCTGATTGGGCATCCGACGACCCAAGCCATCATCTGCCCGCTGCGCCGCGCATTTCAGCAAAAAAGAATCGAAGCAGAAAGGAACATCCAACTGCAACGAGCCGAGTCAAGCCGCTCAGGCCGCTGGACGAGCAATGTATCCATCCGCAAGCCCCAATTACAGACGCATTGCAGAATAAGAAAGAATAATTACAGAAAAAAAAGGGTGAACTGACTGACCCGTTCGGCTTGGCGTCGTTTGGCTCTATTATATCCCGCACCACACACACACCCCTTTGGAAGATCAGAATCACGAACGTTGTCCATGCCACTCACTCACTCACCTTTCGGCTTCTCTTGGATGTCTACCCCCACCCCCTGCCCACTCCCGATTCTTACCCTCCTTCTGCTTTAGGCCAGGCCATCTTGGGAACGACAATCGAACATCCCACGGAAGTAGCAAGGAACCCGGAAGAACACAGTCAACATCCCACGCAGAAAAGTCACACTAGAGAGGGCACAGTCGACATCCCGCGTAAAAAGAAATCCCATCAAAAATGGCAGAGTAAGAATATCCCTCGCCTGGCGCGATAAGCAGACGTCAAAGATGCGTTGGCACGCGATATGTGCCTCTCTTACTCTCCCCCAAAGAGTCAGTTAGTTAGTTTAGTTCACGTTTAGCTGCCGGCAAGGGGTGGACTCCCCTCCTCAATCCTAGAAGTGGTGCGTGACGTGGCTGGCTGGTTGGCCCCCCCCTCATTACATTACGACAACAACAACTCCTCGCAACTCTGTCAGAAACCTCAAGGAAACATGCAAAAGGCAGTTGCGATCCCACCAATTCCGCCCTGTCAGCTGGCCTAGGGTAAACGCTAGGAACACATTCGGATGCTTGGGGTTTGCCTTATCTGGCTGAAGGGAAGGGGGTGTGCACGGTAGAGTACCTCACCTCAGAAGGGGGGGCGACCGACAGACCGGTCGATCAGCCAGCCCAGCGCCTCCGATGATGGATGGATGACTTGCATTGTGGCATAAGCTGACTTGCCCACACACCGGGCTGCGCTGTGCCTTCACCACAACCAACCCCCGACACGGGCATCTTCCCAGTCTATCCCTCTCTTTGCGGTCCCTGATCGAGCTGGACTAACAACACCCCTCTCTCGCCTCACTGTTGCCTTTTCCAAACCAAACTGCCAAGTCACGATCCCCCCACGCCATTGGGCCCAGCAGAAGGAGGGCTGCGCCATCGTCTTCCTCGTCATCGGTTTCCAGCAAGGCAAAAGCCGGGATTGAGGGACTTTGTCAAGTTGAACATGAAGCTGTTGTTGCTTTTTTCTAACACGCGGCTGTCTAGTACTGTTTGAACCTAGCACAGGTAATGCCAGCCCACGCCCGAGGGCATCCATCCACCCGCCGGTCTCTGTCCTCGCTCGCCAAGACCCTTTGCTCAAACAGATGTGATAAACACATAGTATACAGATTCCACCACAATCAAATAGGTATCCGCCAGCAACGGCGTAGGGCAATACAAGAGAAACAGTTAGCCAATGCTTCGTCTCGGGCGCCCTGAAAGACAATTCTGAAAACACCAACTTGGACCGCCCTTGAAGGCTTTGTCCTTTTTTTTTACACATAATGCCGGGAACACATGAATAATCTTCTGGACCAAGTCCTGCTCTGTTTTTCTTTTTCTGTCCTGATCCTGATGGTGGAGATATCCCTTCTCTTTCCTCCCAAAAATGGCCAACTCCGGTAACAACCAACAAAACGTCCGCGTCGGTCGCCCAACTATGCGAGTCTTTGTGTGAAAAAGTCCCTGAACCCCAAAACAAGTGTTCCATTTTGAAGCCGCCTCTCCTATTATAAATCTGTAGCCATACGATTCGAACGGGGAAGCAGCGAAACGAAGTGGGTATAAAGTAAACGAGTGTCGAAAATGTCAAATAACCTCTGGCTCATTGAAGGCCGTATTCTGTCGTATTGGTTCTCACCGCTGGCCCTGGTCATGCGGATGGTGTCCGTGGTGAGGCGGAGGGCCAGGGGGTCTGCTGGCGAACCCCGTCTCGTGGGGGACGCGGGTGTAGCTGGGGTACATCGGACCGCCGGGGGTTTGAACCATTCCCGGCTCTGACCCGGGAGCTCCGAAGGGCCCTTCCATAGCTCGGAGAGGAGGCAGTCTCTCGCCACCGGGGGCCGTCGAAGGTGGGCGCTGCATCATGCCGTACGCTCCAGCCTGCATCGGAGGCAGGTTGCCCGGTTGGGGAACCGGCGTGCCGTACGACGGGACCGAGAACTCGGGCGTCGGCGCAGAGTCGGTCCTCCGTCGTCGTGCCGGTCTCTCCACAGACGACTCGCTTGACGCGTAGCCCTGCTGGGGGTGAGAGAGGATGGGTGCCTGCGCCATTGGGCTGGTCTCTGCCATCGAACCACCACTCCGTGAAGACGTCGGGCTGGGTGGCCCGTTCGCCATGTCACTGAGTGGTGTGCGCAGGACCACCTCACGCAACCGGTTCCGCTCATCCCTGTAAAAGTCTCTCTCCTGAGTCAAGTCCCGCAGGCGAGACTCCAACTCCCGGTTCCTCTGCTCCAGCTTGTTCATGGTGGCGATCTGCTCTGCGTCTCTTTCCTTCTTCCGTTGCCTAAACCGCGCGGACGCGCCGGCGTTGCGTTGCCGCTTCTCGTCCGCCTGCTTCGATGCTTGGTGAACGTCGACGGGCACCACCATCCCGCTGTCCCCTCCAATCCTGAACATTATCCCGCCCTCCATCACCGCCTTTGCAGATTCGGACCGCAGGCTCTGGTACAAGGCCGTTCCGCTCCCAGGGGCCGACCACACGGGGCCGGGGGGAGAGACTTGTGGCGGGTAGTTGGGCCCGGAAGGCATCATGCCTTGCTGGCCCTGGTATTCCGGTCCTCTGGGATCTCGTGCCATCGGAGGCAGCTGAGGCCTATCAGCATGCGGTAGCTGTCCAACCATTGGCTGGGACATGGATCGGGGGGGCGTCGTCAACGGTCCCATGGTCGAAGGTGGAGGACCGAGGGATGGCGGGCCGGAGAACGGGAGACCGGGCGGCGGACGACTTGGCTCCTCCTCGTAAGGACGTTTCGCTCGCGGCGCCGAAGGAGGTAGGAAGGGGGTTTGCTGGCCCTCGTGACCCTTGATGCTTCCCTGACCGACGCTGGCTGCTCGTGTTTCCCTGGGGCTGAGAACTTGCCTGCCCATCGTCGGAAAGGGGAAGCCGCCCTTTGGCGAGCTCTCCGAGGGAGTGTACCCAAGAGGTGTCGTGGCTGGGTGCCCAGCTGGGGTTACTGGTTGTGATCCCGGGGGACCAGGAAACGAGTATGGTCGATCCGAAGTGCTGTAGTGTCTCGGGGGCATGCCGTAGGGCGAGCCCTGGGGCTCGGCACTCCGAGGTTGCGACGTCTCCCCCTGGTACCCTTCTGCGTGTGCCTCGGAGGGGTTGATCAAGCCTCTGATGCCCAACGACGACCGTGGAGCGTACGGATCCCTAGCAACATCTTGTTGTCCTGGAAGAGAGCTTTGTTGGAAAGGGCGAGGGGGTGACTGCGATGGAGGCCGAGATGTAGGTGCAGGTCCCCTCTGTGACATCGAGACCTGGTCCCCTTCGCACTCCTGGCCTTGAGGGCCCGAACATTGACCGCCCTGACCAGTGCTTGAAGCGGAGGAGTGATCCTGATTCGGGTGGGAGGCTGGGTGTTCGGATGTGTGCCCGTTGTCGAAACCAGTCTGTCGAGACGCAGTTGACGGATCTGAGTGTGCGTAATCGCTCTCCTTAGCCTCTCGGCTTCGTTGAGGATGTTGTACAAAAGGCCGGGCAACTGCTGAGACCGCCAGTTTGTCGACTGGGGGTGGGACTAACTGGGTCGAAGCCAACAGTCCCAATTTGCTAGAAGTCGGTCGTAGAAGCAGAAAAGATGAGGAGGCTCCGGCAACGGCTGGGAGGGCCGTCGATGATGTTTGACCCCTGACCTTGGACAGTAACAATGGGTGGCTGCAAGAGTTGTCGAAGGGTGATTGGTTGATTAGCGTAGCTAGCGTCTAAGCCGTGTGCTATCAAGATGTCGTGATAGTCCCTTGGGGATGATGGAGGGAACGTTGACGAGTTGATGAAAGTCCTCCTGCGGAAGAGGTTGATGGAGGGTAGTTAAGGATGCCCGAGGTGGCCACCAAGATGTATGTCGGGGGCTGGCGGTACTGACGGGTCAGGATTAGATGCGGTGAAAGGTGGGATGCAGCTGAGCGGACCACTCATGACTCTGGGAACGAATCCCAGACTATGAATGGCCAAGGGGATCTTACGCACTGTTTATGGCCGGATCTACCTACCAGCGTGGACAGCCGGGCGAGGTGATGGCGTCTTGTAAGCGAAGCTGGTGGATGTTGCTGCGTCGAGGAACTGGCCCCCAAGCTCCGTTCTTTCGAAGAGAGAGAGAGGCGGTGATGATGTCGGGTTGTTGGGGTTGCGTGTTTAAAGTAGCAAAGCTTGGATTGTGTTTCCCAGAGACAGTTGACTCGAAACCTTGACACGACGGGTTGGCCGGCGGCGGTATCGGTAGGAATAAGAAAGTAAGATCGAAGGGAATCGTCAGGAAGTTCGCAGGTCTATTGCTCCAATGTAACCGTAGTTCATTACACGACACAGGCGACGACTAGACAAGGTCGGGAGGAGCCAGGTCTATTTGATTTTTTTCTGTCCAGCCCTAGCGTAGTTCTCCCATGGCGGCATAGCGTTCTTATCGAGCCCTGGCAACTTGCCGGGGAGCTTAAGGTGCATGGGGGTGTGGTGGTGGAGGAGGATGAACGGCGACATGGATACGGATACCTGGTGAAGCTGCAGCAGCTTGTTGGGTTGCGGTGGACGTGTGCTGGCCGGGGTGCATGTTCCCAGGAAAACACCGGGGGGTCGCCCCATTCTCGGCGCCATAGGGTGCTCAGACATTGACAGGGCTTAGTCGACCGGTGGCTCTTCGTTCGGGACCAGAGACAAGTAGCGGTACAAGTCCCCTTCTGACGCGACCGTACCTCTGTACAGGTGTCTTGCTGGCTGTGTGTCTGTCTGCTGTCTGTCTGCCTGCAGACTGTCTGCTTCTGCGTCCCCGTCGTCTGCAGTCTGCATCTGCGTGCCTTGCTTGGCTTTGACTGGGACCTTGATCATGTCAAGTTTGTCTTTTTTTCTTCTCCCCTCGCTTCCTCATCACTTCCTCTGCTGTTTTGTCTTATGAGTCTCTCTCCATGACATGTCACGCGAGAAAACGCTTGTATTCCAGGAAGGCTAGCCATGCTTGCCGCACAGAGGATAAAAAGGTTCTGACTGCTGAGCCAGTCCGGAACGCCAGGAAGAAGACTGGGATATGCCTGTACATTTTCTCCTCGGACCAACCCAGCAATGACGGACAGAAGCGACGGATGCTTCGCAGCTACCGTCCGTCCAGAATGGCGCAGCCCGAACGCCTGAAGGTCTGTAGCAAGTGCTGCTCGGCCGAGACTCTACCGGCAGCTTGTCATTACCAGAAGGCATAGCGAGATGACGATGCGCTCCGCAACCGTTATTGCGCTAGGGCAGCTTCGTCGACGGCAAGGATGGGAGCACATCTGGCGCTCCACGATATCCATCCCGTGCCTTATTTCGCACAGATGGGCTCCTGTGTATTGGTGTGCATCGACTTTGGGCGACGGTCAGCAGCAGGCAGTCAGATATGCCTGAATGGAGAAGGGGTACTGCGATATCCCTCTTTCTGCACAAACATGTATCCCTCTGCATGATGCAAGGCTCGGGGAGGCTGGTCCAACACCGCTCTTCTGACCGACTTTGAGAGGAGGAAGAAACGCGGTATGTAGGACAATCTCTCCCTCATATCGACCGGTGGAGCGCGGAGAGAATGGTAGAGACCAGGGAAGAGAGGGAAAAAAACAAAATCGGCCGGGATTCGGAGGTCCCTGCGCTGGTCCCCGGGGAAGAAGCAAGAGAGAGACTTGAAGACGATGTCCTTGGGCCAGGCTCATGGAAGCTACCTGGACGCTAGCCGGCTTATCGCCTAGCGTGGTTCGTAGAGCAAAAGTGAGGTCGACGGGTCAGGTACAGCGGCATCTATGTACACACGCTGCTGCTGGCTTGCTGGGAAGTACATTGTAATGCGGTGGTGGTGAGGTAGGTAGTCCAGGTCGACGGATCCCAGCAAAAGACTTTTCGTCCCAAGAAGCCCGCCTGTCTGGGGCGGGTTAGGATCCAAAGCCGTGTTGCTGAGAGTGATTGGAGTGAGCAGATCGCCGTTGCTCCTCGCGCGCAAGCAGCAGAACCAGGACCAGTGTCTCGGCGGCAGGCCGCCCGCCAGTGTGTGGCACCCAGTCACATCCATTGTTCCCAGGGGTCCAGCCGGTTCGTCAGCTCTGAGGCGAGGCAGGCACTGGGGCAGATGCCCGGGTGGGAATCCCACAGTCAGGCAGCCTGCAAGGAGGGTACTTTAGCCTTTGCCATGTCGATTTGGCAGTTTGTCGGGCGGACGTCGAATCGGAAAGCCGGAGGCTAGCAGAGAGGAGCCATACATAATTCATTATGTGATGTGCAGCGGGCGGCAGCCACGTCGGTTCCATCTGAATAACGGTGACGTTTGGGAAGCCCGTCCACGGAGTCTGGGGGCGGAAGATTTCTGCCCTGGTTCGCATGGCCGGCCTGTAGAGGAAGAGGCGGAAACTCTGGCATCTGGAATCTTGGATACGTGATCTGGGCAACGAGCTCGCACGTCGTAGCTGGTACTTGTATGTAGTTGTTGGATACGGTACGCTGGGCCTGACCTGACCGGACGCCAACGGGCGCTCATTGCATCATCGCCAGGTCCGTTTGATGAGGCGGCGGACATGGAGAGCAGGGGTTGTTGTTCACTGTTTTCTGCACCAGCCCCAAGTCCAACAGCCAGGCGGACGGGAGGAACTTGGTAATCGGTCAAGTAGCTTGAAGCATGGCGAGATTGTTGGCGACGTGATGGCCGAGGGTCCCCGGGTGGCTATGCGCAACATGCGTGATGCGGTCCCTAGGCCTGGACAGAGTGTATGGAGACAAAGCTGCTTTCGGTAGAAGCAGAGAAGGCAAAGGAAATTCGGTGTTGCTGGGCTCTGGTATGGGTGCTGGCTGGGTTGAGGGATGTTGGCGACGATGGGCATGACGGATGGGCTATGGGCAGATGAGAAGCAGTTCGAAATGGCATGGTGGTGGTTCCTGCCATGGCATCGCCTGCTAATTAACCCAGATGAGGAAAGAGAATGGAACCAGAGCTAAGCAGAAGAAACCACGGCGGAGCTTGAGGTGACGGGGAGGGGACCTGGGCACATGTATCGTCACATACAACCACCGCAGGGCGGTACATGGCCATCAGAGTTTCCCAAGTGCCCCAGCCTAGTGCAGCGCTCCGGTCGGCATGTTTCTGTGAGCTGCAGGGGAGGCAGCTCTGGTGCCAGGAACTTGGTGCCAGCCTACGCATACCTAGGTCCAGATTGCCCGCTGCCCTCTCACTCACCTTGGACTCACCTGGGCCTTACCTTGTTCGCCAGAGAGACCGACCATCAGCGAGGCCAGCCAGCTCAGGTAAGTAATGTCGCACCGCGCCTTCATAACGTGATGAGTTGCACAAGTACAGCATGACACCGCAGTTATTACAATGGGAGCACGGCGCCAATAGCACGCATTCTTCGGGTGAGGCTCTAATCTCAATCTCTTTCTTCTTCAGAGGAAAAGATGGACGATGGCCACTTACACCGGTGACCGGCGACCGGCGGACAAGGCTTGCGACACCAAGAGTCAGGCAAACTGCTCGTCTTCGATTGGGTGTTAGTCGTCGCGAGTCCCGGTCCTTGGACCCTTGGCTTCCGAGGGTTTGGGCAGGCACGCGTGCTTTTCTTCCCTCCCTCCACACTCGCTGAGGTGCTGTGCTCAGATTTCCACTCAACTCAGATGAAGGCGATTCAGGTATTTTTACCACCCCCCTTGCCCCAGCTCAGCTTCAATCCCTTCCCTCACTGTAAGGTTCCTCTGGGATGGGATTAGGAAGGAAATGCCGCGCCCTCAGAAGTCTATTTGATGACGGAATTAGAAGGGACCGCTGGGTCAAGGCGCAAAGATGCTTTGATGACGGACGGAATAGGAACCGGGGGACGGGGAGATGGGGACATACACCAAGTACGGACAGAGAAACAGAGCCAGAGACGGAATGATGGAGGGCGGGAGGGATGCAGCAGAAAGCAAACCGGAAGAAGGAGGGGTCATGATTGAACGAGACTGAAGAGTGTATTCATTATTAGCACTTGACATAACACCAGATGAAGGCTGAGACCCAACAAGTGCCGTTCATCATTCCGTCGCCAGTGCCAATTTGCCTTTGCAACTCTTTCTGCACTCCTCTTTCTTCTTCTTTCCCCCGCCACCGGAGCGTCGTCCGTCTCGTCTCTGCTGCCGTTTCCCCCTGTGTCTTCTTCGTCCCAGCACCGCCCGCCGCGAACCTTCATCATAATAGCACACTCTATCTCAACACTGCTTACTGCCTAATACTTACTTTACCTCGCCTTTGGTGCCGCTTCCACCCACGTCGACGCCCTCC